AAAATAAATGTATGTTCCCCGAAAGCATCGTACCTGAGTACGACGTAAATACGTAGATTAATGAGAGCTTAAAACCACTCGTCAGACAGTAGCATGCAGCTACAATAAAAAACACTGACACAATATAAAAAATGTGCATTACTGTGCAACTGCAAACACTTCAAAAGTCAATATGAACCAATAATAAAAGCATAAACAATTGTAACTGTATTCAGAAAAAAACTTTTCCTTTGTATAATACCTTAATTATTAGGTCTACGGACGACACATTACAATATTAGATAATCAATGTATATGGAGACTATATTTCTTAAACAGTGAATTTGCGACCACACCTATGGTTTAACAATAAATTAATGCATTTCTGTTAAGCGCTTGGCGCGTTTCTGCAGACAGGTGATGATCTTCTTGCTCTTCCTGCTTGTCTCTTCCGCCTCTTCTTCTTACACGGGCAGGTTCAAAAGCCTAAGCACAACAGTTTTTGTGTAGCTCATTACTTGTATTGCAGGGCAAACCCTCAGTCACCTTTTTGATTTATGGACGCATACAAAGAAATGTATACCTTGGTTCACGGGGCCGTGGCCGTAATTGTAGCCCTGCACTGTGTCCTTCTATGATTTTTATGACTAACAGGTATAGTGTTATAGGTTAACCATTGCCAGATCGCATCTTGTATAATGCTCGCAATAATTGAATTATATTATAATTATAATTACTGAAATATTTACTGAATTCTTATATTTATATACGTATAATATAATCTTAGCTATATTTATATGTATAATATAAATATATATAGCATTATATAAATACATATATGGCTTACATAAAATAATAATCACTCTAAATGATTATAAATATGAAATAAATAATCTATATATTGGCATTTTTCAATAATAAATTCAATATTTTTTTCTTACAGAAAATGGACAATAGGACAAATTCTTTAACAAACTGTAGACATTTTCACTTTTGTAGTTAGCCTTTTGTAAGGTCATATTGTAAGGTTGCAATTTAAAAGTTGTATTTACATTTTATTTTATAACAAACGACCCATGTGCTGGTTTTGGAAACGGTACTCCGCCATCATTAAATAATGTACGACATAAGCGAAAACGATCTTTAGAGGGTGATTTGTAACTGTATTGGAAAACAGGGCCCAGTGCAACTTGTGATCAATTATGAGGTATTGGAGAAAGCCTACCGTATATGCAACTATCGGTTAATTTCTTAAATAGCATCGTCAAATATTGTGGGAAAATGTAGGCTATCTAATATAGCTAATACTGTTCTAATAACTTCAAATATTTAGAAAAGTTAGGATATTTGGAATTATTTGTACTTGTCACCTAATTAGACTACATCTTATTTATCAGCAAAATAAAATAATATTATAAGCACTGCAGCACAGAGAACTAAAGTAATGTGCCTGAAGATATAATGTTCACCAAATACCAAAACGATTAACCTAAAAGTTGAAATTAAATAAAGTTTTAAAGTAACCTTTTTTGATATTAGTCACATAGTGTCTTCTACGAGTAGTCTAATATGTTCTAAGGAGCCAACACTCCTTGGAAAAAAAAAAGGTTTATTGACGTAAAAAAATAATATTTAATACGACTGAATCAACCTAAATTCGGTTACACCCATAATCGTTATTTAAAAATATATATATTTATGCATGTAAAAATGAAACTTGTATGAAAGTTTATTGGCTGGCAAGCAGCCACACAACACCTGCGATGACTTCATACATGTATCTCCTGTCTCCTAAACAATACAGTTTGTTTAGTTTATTAATGCAAATATTAGTTTAGTACAATATAAGTGAAACATGATTTATTTGCTAGCTTTTTAATGTTTTTTCGTAACAGAAAAGCTGCGTTACATCTGCCGTGGAATGTCAAAAATCTATCAATGTCAGTCATTCAGCATTATAGCAGCGCTCCCCTGTGAGAAAAGGATTCTCAAAAATGTCACTGCTTGTTCGTTTCACAAAAACAAGTTTTCATGTGTTTTTAAAAGCTGTCATACTTGTTTGACTGACACAAAACCTGCAATTAAATATTTAATAGTCAGAACAAAAATCTGTTTGTACACAAGGATACATATATTTCGGCCACTTTTGATAGATATTTTGTTTTATAACAATATGCCTATTTGGTCTTAATTGTAAAAAAAATAAAAAAGGTTTTCAATTTTTTTCCATTTAGATGACGGTAGAAACATTGATTAGAGACTGACCAGCACTACACTAACAGCTCGAAAATGGATGCCCCTAAGGAAAAAGTTACAAGGTCGCACGCTACAGAAGAGCCTTGTCCCAGAGTTCACCGATCTCGTAAGTCATACGGTGCAAAGCAACAAAGGAGAAACACATTCAGATGTCCTTCTTCTATTGCCACATCAATATAACCAAAAACCCACAATGAAAGCAAGAGCACCGGTGGAACCCCAGGAAGCCTGTGAGGGTGCACACAGAAGGTACACGTTGAGAGAGCCAGTGGGGTCAAGGGGTGGGAGAGGTCGGCCGACCCGGCTGAAACGAAACTAATGGGACAGAAAATGTGTCCCCAAATTGAACTCGACTTTTCTTAGTTGCCACAAACTTCAATAAAGTACCTTTTCAGCCTCGCGACATAGAGGCGACAGCATCTCGAAAGAGACTGCCGGGATGCTACGATTTAGGCGTGCACATTCATTTCTCTCTGCTGTTCAGTCACATAATGGTCCCTGAATGCAGTTCTGCACCTACTCTTTTCAAGTGCCTTTCCAAAGTCATGGCCAGGCTGAGACGATGGCCAGTGCCTTTCTTCTCATTTAGGGTTGGACAAACTATCCGCTGAAACATATTTTGCAGTGACGCTTTTGTGCACTATTAAGTGTCTGTACAACTTAATACGTTAGAAGTACAATTGACTATTGCTGCCGGACTTGATTGATGGTCTAAAATGACTCACTCCTTTGTGCTTCTCAGCCCCCCACTTAGTAAGCCGTTGTGTAATCTTCATTCAAGTCAGGCCGATTTACAATTAATCAAACACATTCCTTATTTTCTGTACATGTTTTTCTTTTCTCGAGAACTGATATCAATAGAGACGCTAAGTGTTTTAATATTTAAATTTTAATATATTCTTGTGCATTTAGAAAAATACAAAAACGTCACAATGAAATTTTAACTCATTTGCATATGGGAGCGTTCTGTGCAGCATTGTAAACTAGCAAGGCCACAGCGTGCAGATTTTGGTCCTGTGTGTCTAGCTCCTAGTCTCTGCTTTGGCTATGACGTTGCTTCGAACACGTTCTAGCGCCACTTTTTAAAAATTACAATATTGCACACAAAGAGGAGTGGCCTGAATCAGAACTTTCAAAAACCGAGTTACTAGGGTCATATTTCACCACATGCAGATTGCTTCTTAAAAAAAAAAAGGTTTA